ACTGTCAGCCCCATAAAACTTTTAGTTACTATGCAGCCCCATTTTTTTTTTATTTTTTTTTTTATTAACATGTTAACTGTCGTAAGAGCGTAAAAATAAGAACCGCACTGAAATACAGCTAAAGTAAAACGACTCAACTGCTGAAAACACCTGCCGTCCATGTAATGCCGAATTTCCCAATTTCCCACGGCACATATTTTACATATTTTACATTGAGTCACCAGTCCATCCCTCAATTTACAGCACATACTTTACGTTGTGGTATCACAACAGGATTTGAACACAACCCAATGCCTAGAAGGGCAAGCGCCTGGTAATCTAGCGGCACACACAAACACGCACCCACACAGTAATTTTAGTGGCAGAGGGAGGGTGTGATTAAGGGAGACTTAAAACCACAAGAGGAGAGAGGTTGGAGTGTTAAGAGGTTTTCGAAGTAATCATTTGTGATTCTCAGGATAACTCGGTGCACCCTTTTCTCTCGATAGCACTTCTGACATGGTCACATGCAATTTGTATTTCTTCAAAATAGCCACCGGGAAGAAAAATAAACGCCTTCCCTGAAATAAGGAACATGGGACGTACTCGCTGAGATAAGTTGCCTTGTCTGAAAGTCCGCATCCAGGCAGCCGTTGCAGGTTGTTTCATCAAGATACAGCGGTACCGCTACTTGCGAAATTAATTGGTTCTGGAAGAAATTTCTTCACTAGAAAATTTTGTAAGGAGAGACGCATTTTCCATGTAAATGTCCTAATCCGTTCCAAGCCCCCCCAAAATTCAGACATAATTGTTTTCTAAAGCATAAAAATGCATCAAAATATGTCAAATGTACATGTTACAAATTAGACTCTTCCACAATAAATGAGAGTTGTGCATAACGTAAAAAAACATTCTCTCTCAGAAGTGGTTTTTCATATGAAGAGACGTTCGTAAGTAGAGGTACCGCTGTAATTCAATTTGTGGGGATCGCAGTGCAACAATGACAATTGCTTTGAACGCTCTTGAAAAATAAATGCCTCCCTCAAATAAGGCAGGAGAAGCGATTCACCGAGAAGACTTGTTCAAAAATCCCCATTCGGGCCGCCCATGCACTTTCTTGACTCGGATAATTGGATGCATGCCGACATCAGCACGATGACAATTCCTTTCAACACTCTTAAAAAGAAAGAAATAAATGCCTTCCTCTAAGAAGCCACCAGGATTCATTTGCAAAGACAAAAACAAAAATGCGCCTCGTGTGAAAGTGCCCATTCAGGCAGCTGATGCTTCATTAAGATAATTGGCTGTATGGAGATGTCAGCACAATGAAAAACTGCTTCCGCCACTCCCCCATCCCCAAAATAGGCCACCAGGTTTAATTTGCAGAAACAAAATTTGCGTGCCTGAAAGTGCCCGTTCAGGCAGCTGATACGGGTGGTGATGTCAGTGCAATGACAATTGGCTTTCAACGTTCTAAAAAAAATAAATAAATGCCTCCCGCGATTAAAAATAAAAATAAGCCCCTAGGATGAGTTCACAGTCAACAAATTTGCCGTGAGTTCATCCAATAATGCACGTTGCTTCATGACGATAATTTGCCTGCGGATGCCAGCTCAGCGACGATCACTGCTTTCAACTCGGAGATGTCATGGGAGACCTGATTTATTTACCGACATGACTCGCTGTGCTGGAAAGTGTCCGATCACGGTCATTGCGGGTTGTTCTCTTAAGATAGTTTGAGACGTTTGCGACATCAGTCACAATCGCTTTCAACGCAAAGGGTCTCAAGTGTTAAATTTCGTAGCCCTTGTTCAAATCCACCTCGTTTGCGTCTTATACGTGAGACTTAAGAGACTGGAGGTAAATAGACGAGCGGTAATGGCCCACTTGAGACTCGGCGGCATTGTCGTTATCAGTCTGCTTCACAAAATGAGTACGATTCAAGCCCGCCACACTTGCAGGTTATAATTCGGGTCCGCTGCGGGAAACAAAACACCAAAAAAAAAAAAGATGGAATAAGTAGGCTGGCGTAGTAACGGCTCAGACTCCGTAATAGCTGCATCGCATTGGTTTGTGCCAAACACCCACTTTATTACCAGTGCGCTGCCCAACAATAGCACCGTGAAGAAGTATGAAAAAAAAAATAATAATAATTGATAAATCGAGACCGTAAAATGCCGTCTGATTTGCTTGACACCTCACACATGCATGGACGCGTCCCTGCCAGAAAAAGAAAAACACTCGAGCTCTTTCAGTCGACAAATTGGTGTGAAGAAAAAAAAAAAGTCTCATGACTGAATGCCACCCAAAAAAAAAACAAAAAAAAAACAAGGAGCAACCACTCGTATAATTGCAGGAATTGTCTTATTGTGGTGACAGTTGTTTGTACTTTAATGTGAATAAAAGAAGTGCGACTGCCGGTTTCGAGGCGGCTCGTAATATCTGGAAATATCCGCTCGGGCATTCTTTTCCGAGGCTCAATTTTCCATACTGCTCTCGTCTTGGATCTCGCCAATCGTGGCTCGAATGTCTCCGTCTGATGAGGGTACATTACATAAGAGCATTAAACAGCTGCTCGATGACGCGCCCCAACGGTGACAACGCGTCACATGTCATGTTGAGACGAGCTCATGTTTTTAATCGTGCATAATTCGCCTCATCACCTGCCGGCGTGTGACACGTGTTTGCGAAGGCTGACGTCAGTGAGTGAGCCCCAGTAGGTTCATACGTGTGTGTGTGTGTGTGTGTGTGTGTGTTTTATTTGTGCTTGCTAATATGCTCCTGCCTTCATTAAAGCCATAGCCATAACTTTGATGAATCATTTGGGCTCGGGGCCCTCGCTGCTTTCACAGTATTAGAAAAAAACTAATTGAAATTCGCATCCGGCCCCCCGACAATACCCTCCTCTTTTTTTTTTTTTTTTTTTACCCCCCACCTTCCCTGCTGGCCTTCCTCTACTTCCTTCTCGCCAAACCGTGCCGAGTTTCTGCAGGGGTATGCAAGCCGAGAATGGGAAGGGAAATGTCATCGCTGACTAGGTTGTAACTCTCGAACGAACACTC